CCATCAATTGCATGCTTACTATATGAGCAAGACACTTCTACAAGCAGAGACCCATTAGCCTAATATGGAAAGCAACTTTATTTTCAAGTCCATAGCATCCACATACTAACAAACTTTTGAACATAACCAAGTACTTCAAAAGTTAGACGCCTTTAGTAGGTTGGTGAAATTGGCTGTTGAGCTAGGTCAATTCGACATTGCTTTCAAGTTGAAGATCGTTATCAAGGGAACTACCCTTGCTAAGTTTGTGGTTGAATTCACCAACGTCCCTGAAATATAGAAGACAATGGAATCTATTGAGCCTCTAACCTGGCACCTCTTCATCGACGACTCATTTAAAAAGGTGAGCTTAGATGCAGAAGTTGTCCTACTACGTTTAGAAGCCACAAACTCAACTGTATAGTGAGGTTTAAATTCAAAACCTCCAATAACGTAACTGAATATGAAGTCCTTTTGGCTAGACTCAAGCTATCAAACGATATGTAGTGAAGAGGCTGCTTACAAACAATAACTTTCAACTTGTGGTGAGCCAAGTCAATGATAACTTCACCATAAGAGAAAAGAGCATGACAACATATCTCAAACAAGTGATGGACTTTCCTTCCACACTTTTAGAAGTTTGAGCTGTCATAGATCCTGCATCTTGAGAATACCTAAATTTGAATTGCTAAAGATAGTCCTTCTTGAGTTAGGATTGGCAACGGTTCGATTCGGTTAAAACCATCACTGAACCACCAATTTTTTGGTCATACCATAACCACGTAAGTCAGTTCGGTTCATATCTCGGTTCGGGTTGTTAATAATCTCAAAAATAAATTATGTTTTATAGGTCCAGCCGTCAAATTTAAAAAAAAAACAATTTTATGAAAAAAGTCGATGAAAAGAAAAGCATAATACTAAGCCAATGTAGTAAACAACATCCCAAATGAAAATGCAAACAATATCCCAATTCAATATCCGCATAAAATATGTACGCTCATTTCAATATCACAATAAAAATGAAGATTGTTTATGAAGTACATTCAACCAAGAAAGAATTTTGACAGCCAAAGATCTCGCATTACTTGTTCCTCTCTGAATGATATCCACTAATGACATTTGAGCAAAATTCTCATATTTTTGTTTAAATTCAACAATTCTAAAAATTCTTCATAAAACCTCTAGAGATTTGTCCTGCAATTTGGTGTAGGGTAAATTCAACAGCTTAATAACTTGCTCGTATCCTTGCATTTTTTTATTATTATTCTCAAAACTCAAAGTGTATATCATCAAGTTCCTCCTGCAATAAAATTTAATATCTCTAGGCAAATTAAGTTCATTAAATTCATCTTTTATTTGAAGAAAAAAAAAATCACATTTTATCAAATACTCAAATTCGACAAAAACAAAAATAGATATAGATTACAGCAACAACAATTAACAAACAAGAAGAGGAAGAAAAACACCCTCCTATTTGGGAATGGTGATGGCGAGCAAGAAACAATACGGTGTGGAGAAGAAAAAAATTTTGGGGACACACTGCGGAGACTCGAGTGAAGACGGATGTAGGCTAATGTCTTGTTGAATTTGATTCCAAATTTTTTTGTGGTAGGGTTAGTATTTAGTGGGTAAGTGGTAAATCAGTTAGGTTACTTAATGGGTCGGTAATGGGCCATAAATTTTGGGCTAGAAAAATTATAATAGAAAGAATAATGGAAAACTCAATCGCCCAATTTTTTTTTTTCTTTTAACGGGTAATCGGTTTGGGGTGAGGCTACGGCACAAATACCGTACCCACCCCGAATCAGGTTACTAAAATCAAATACCATACACGTTCTATTGCATCATCGGTTCGATTTTTTTCGCTCCATTCGGTTCAGTTAACCACGGTTTTCACTTTTGACAGTTCAAATTGTCAGTCCTATCTTGAGCACTTCCAGAAGCTATCCATCAGCGGAGCTATCGAAATGAAGTGGGTAGAAGATATCTCGTCAAGAATGAAGTCAACCTTTCTTAAGGATCAAATCCTTCCTAACGACAAGGAAGAATCGTGCAATCTCAAGCAAAAGACAGCACACTTCATACTCCAAGATGATGTGATATGCAAACAGGCTTCTCAATGCCCCTCCTTCGATTTATCGGAGGAGAAGAGGCAACATATGTTGACTTAATTGTAATGACTTGTTTTGCAATTTACTACACACGTACATGGTCCAGAGTTTGTATTGAGGCATATTTAAACTTGTGTTGAAAAGTTCTACTGATAGAATGTAACCGTAATGACGAATTTCTTATTCATATTTCATCAAATAAAATCTGAGATATTTTCTATCTGTTCTCAATATATGATTTTCACTTCTCTCTTATCTTTTCTTATTGTCTTATATCTTGAAGTTTACATTGGTAGTTTCTTCTAAAATGAGGGAAAGGAGATCTGTAAAATGGAACAAGAGACTTTTTGAAGACCATGTTTGTGATTATGAATCTTCAAATAAAGTAAAACTCAGCAAACATCGAAAGTGGGCGATTAACCCTCATATTAAAGGTACACATATTAACATACTGCTATGGGCTTTATGTCGATTTAGTTAAAGAAATAAGTGTTAACTTAGTAAACAATATAAAAAGAATTTTTTGCACTTAATTTATGTTTATTATGGTAACATAATTATTTTTGTGAAAAATATAATGTAAATATATCAAGAGCCTGTTTGTGAGTGATTTTGAGAATTGATTTTTTGACCGTTAGGAGAAAAGTGGGGTCCACCTGTGAGAGAAGAAGTCAAATATGACGGCTGAAATAGTAAAATAACGGTCAAAAAATCAATTTTTTGGATGAAAAAATCGGGCCCAAACAGGCTGCAAATGAATGAAAGCTATTTTTTTTTAATTTTTTTTTAGTTTTTTGTTAGTTAAGTTCTACTTTGACATGGAATTAATTTAAAATTAACCCCCCCCCCTCCTCCCTTTTTTTTTCCAATTTCGTGCAATTTTGATAATCACTATTCTTGCACAACTCTTGCACGAGAGTAAAGAAATGATACATGGTCAAGAAGATTAGATTATTGCCTAGAATAGGGAATTTGAATTATTTTAAAATGGAGATTATATTAACAAAGATACCAATACAGATATGATGATTGAATAATTGAGGAACTTTTTTTAACATTCCAATGGGCTTTTTTTAGATAACTTGAGATTAAAATGAATAAAATTCATTTTAAAAAATTAAGGAAAAAGAAAGGTATACGTGTAAAGAATTTTATCAAAGAGAAGACTTCAATAAACATAAGATGATTTTCAATTGATATTAGGATTAGGTAAAGAAATTTAACTTTTTTTTTAATTAGATAATTTGTGTAAAATGTTTGTAATAAATAATTATTGTAACCTAGGATATGTTTGATAATTAATCACAAATTTTATTAGTTTTTTGCAATACTATTTATTGACTTTCAATTTGCTTGTCAAACAATTTATTGATATTTAAATAAGTCTCAAGTCGAAGTCATTCACCCCTTGATAATGTGATCTAAAACCTTCTAGGTTATGACCTCCCGTGCCTCTTGTCAATGGATAATTTAGAAGTGAACATTTTAATCGGAATATAATCTATCGAATTTGAATCAAAATCGAACGTTCCAATTCAGTTTAAAAAATTAGGAATCAGAACTGATTTTTGAGTACTAATATTTGAGATATTTGATACTATTTGGTATCATATTTCACAATTTTTTAAAAGAATAATTAGGTAGAACCAAACCAGTACCTGAACTGATGGTTAGGCTTCAGGTTCGATTCCAGTATTTATTTGCACATACATTACCAACCCATCAATGCCAATGCTTGAGATGGTTCCACATAAAAAGCTTATAAAATAAATGACCAATATATAAGATTTTGTGCTACTACTCTTAATAATGTTGACCTTTTAAAATGAAATATCAAGTCTTAATATTGAGAAAAACTTCAATAGGATGGAACTATTAGCACAAGTGATAGGATCGACCATTTAGAAATCATGACACTGTGGACCTCGAACCATTTGAATCATAGCGCCTCCATATCCAAAGCATAAGAAAAAGAAATGAATTTGACCTTGAATGTCGACGTGTCGTGATTTAAATTGTTTGGAGTTTGAGGTGTTACGATCTAAATAGCTAGTCCTATCACATATGCATATATGACTATCCTATCGAAACCTTTCTACTTAATATGGTATCAAAATTCATTAAATTCTAACGAGTAACTCAACCTATTAAGGCTAAATATGAGAACATTGAATTTCAAGATTGGAACGTTCAAACGAGTCATCATCTTGCAAGGCATATCAAGACGTAACTCTTACATCAAAAGATTATGAAACCAACATATAAGGTTTTAGACTACCATTCTTAACGAAGTTTGACCTTTTAAGATAAAATATTAGGTTTTAATACTTCTAAACATTTTTGTTCTTCAGCACCAACCTCTTTTCTGTGCATGTGTACTTGCAATTATAATATTTTAGAAACACAGATTAGCCAACGTAAATATGTACATGCGAACATTGGGCTAAATGTAACCTTTCATTGATTTAAGTTAACATATGCAAAATTTGTACTTGTTTTGTTCATTTTCAACTTCTTTGTAATTCTTTGTGCATTTGAATCTTGCACATAAAACTTTAACGTTTCATTAATTCAGTGAGCGCATGCAAAGTTTGTACGAGTATATATTTCTCTTTTTTTTTTCCGACTACTTTTTTTCATTGTGCATGTGCATCCTGCACGTAAATTATTTGATAATTTAGATCAACATATATAAATTATGTACGTGGGAACATTTTACTCCTTTGTTTTTACATTCTTTATTGCTTTTTATCTTGATTCTTACATCCATTCCATAAGATATGAACTACCTAATTATTTTTCATTATACATGATCAAATATTTTGAGCAAAAATTTAGAAAATGAATAGAGAAATTATTCATCACAATTAAAAAAAACAGAAAATATGACCCAATTTGTCGGATTCTTCACTTCCTCGTCACTTTCACACTACTTCAGTACTTTACCAATGGAAACTTCATTCTGCTTCTACACTCCAATTTTCTCCATAAAACCCTCAATCCCAAATTTCTGATTATGAAAATCCCAGATCAAACAATGCAGTACAAGAATCTGGGCAGATCGGGCTTGAGAGTTTCCCAACTCTCCTATGGCGCCTGGGTGACTTTCGGCAATCAGCTTGATGTCAAGGAGGCTAAATCCCTCCTTCAGTGTTGCAGGGACTATGGTGTCAATTTCTTCGACAACGCAGAGGTTTATGCTAATGGCCGGGCCGAGGAAATCATGGGTCAGGCAATCAAGGAACTGGGATGGAAGCGATCGGACCTTGTGATCTCCACCAAGATTTTCTGGGGTGGTCAGGGCCCGAACGATAAGGGCCTGTCGAGGAAACATATATTAGAGGGGACGAAGAACTCGTTGAAGAGGCTTGATATGGAGTACGTTGATTTGCTTTATTGTCACAGGCCCGACATAATGACGCCTATTGAGGAGACTGTGAGGGCTATGAATCATGTGATTGACAAGGGTTGGGCCTACTATTGGGGAACTAGCGAATGGTCGGCTCAGCAGATCACGGAGGCTTGGGCGGTGGCGGAGAGGCTGGATCTTGTCGGCCCGATTGTTGAGCAGCCTGAGTATAATCTCTTATCCAGGCACAAGGTAAAATTATTATTTGGGTTATATATTTGAGAATCTTTGATTTAGATACAGTTTATTTGTTCATTTAATGCAATCCTGGAAATGTTAATAAAAGTTTCTACAGATTTGTTATGGAGTTTATACTATCATTTTATGAGGGTTATTTATGCTGAGTTTTTCAGGGATGAAGACGTTCAAAAGTACAGCCTTACTGTTTGTGAATTGTTATGCATTTTTGACAAGTTCTTTTGCTCAAAATTTTTGATAATATGTTGTGGTTGTGTTTGTGTGTGATTTATGCTGTTATTCATTTTATTTAAAAGGATGCATATTGTTAAAGATTGATACTGATATTCTATTAAACTTGAGCTAATTATCCTTGTGAATTTATTTCGTTCCCTGGAAATCTGCCATTTTGCAATCACTTCTTTTCTAACGTGGATCATTTTCACTGATGTGATAGAATGATCTTATATATGGTCTAATATGTCTTTTAGTGCTTAGGATTAAGAAAGATTCTTTCTCTTGTTGAATTTTGAAATTTGTTGCGATATAATCTATCGAAGATATGGTGCATTATTTATGTTGTATAGCCGATTGGTGAAACATTAGTTTTCCAACTATTCTAAGCTGATTTGTGCATATATTATCTTTCATATTAAATCTGTCATTATCACATAGCTTTTTTTCTATCGCGATGTCATTTTCTGCATCATTTCTTTGATTTGATATAATGATCTTGTATTAGTGTATACGTCATTTAGTTAAAAGCTAAGGATTAAGATAGACTCTTTCTTTCTGTAGTTTGTTCCGATGTTTTCTATTGAGAAAAGTGTCATGTGTGCGTTATTTGTGTTTCCTGGACAGTGAAACATAAGTTGTCCTCCTTTACCATGCGAGCAAGGTTAGGAACAGAACTTCATAGATTTATGAAATTCTAGGAATTAAATCTTTTGCTAACTTTCAGTTTATGCAGTAGAAAACAGAAAAATATACAGCCGCCAGGCCTTTAAGGAGGTATTTGTAAACGTCAAAAACTTTTGGTTATGCTTTAATTGACAGAAATTCCACTACGCTCTTCACTTAAATTACCTACATGATTCATATGATACCACTGAGATAAAGACAGTAAAGCTGCTTGCCACACTAACATAAACGTGATTAAGCAAGAAAGGCTGCTTCCTTGTCTGCTTTGTTGTTCCAGCACCATCATCCTCAGGGAGGGGAAGGGGTGCGACTACAGCATCTATGGAAAGACCTTTTCACACTCAGCATACACCTCAGGGTCAATTATTTTCTGTTTCTCTTCCCCAATCCAGTGCATCCTTTAACTGTATTTCTGGCCACTCCTTGCTTAGTTGCTCTGGTATCAGGAGTAAACGAAAAGAAAAATCTGATCGTGGTGAAAAGTAGACCATTGATATTATGTGTTCACATTCCTTGAACCTTGTATATTCTGCAGCATTATCATCTAATGTTATCCCGGGCGTCCACAATTTTTTTTATCTGAACTTGCTAGATTTTTACATCCACGTGCACCCGTATGCAAGCTTTAGTTTTTGAAATTTCAAACATAGAGCCCTCCCTCCCTCCCTCCCTCCCTCCTATTAGTTATTAAAAAATTATCTTCCAATCATAGATTGCGAATCCCCTTTCGAGGGGAAACTTGCCTCTGCAATTAATTGGGAGCCAACTGACTTATTGAGAAAAAACTGACTTATAAAGCAATAAGGATTCTAATGTCAAAGTGTTGCAAGGAAAAATTTTACACTACTATTTTAATTTGAATTTTTATGGCACCTACTTTTCATATTGTATAAATATTACTAGGTTTTGATATTAGAATCAATGTTTATGGTTTCTGCTAGCTGTTTACTAAATGATTTTCCAATATGTATCTGTCATGTTATTCTGGAATAATTTGAACTCTGCAGGTTGAGTTGGAGTATCTCCCTCTATACAATAACTATGGTATTGGTCTTACAACCTGGAGTCCACTTGCATCTGGCGTACTGACCGGAAAGTATAGCTCGGGAAATATTCCACCTGATAGTAGGTTTGCCTTGGAAAACTATAAGGTAAAACTTGAATTGAAAGTTCGCACTTCTAGGTTTAAAATTGTATCGACATTTTATTAGTCCTGAAATCTTGAAGTTAATTTTCTCAATATTTGCGTAAAATTTTGAAATCTCTAAAAATTGTTGATATCATGTTGATTTGCTTGTATTGGTCTATTGATCTCGATTACCTTTAAAGAACCACGTGGAGGGAGGCTACTCTTTTTTTCAAGTAGGTTTTTCGGAACTGCCTTAGAGACGGGACTTGTTCTGGTGGCTGGATTGGTTATTCATCCATTCATTTATCACAAATCAAATGATTAGCTCCATACGTATTAGAGAAGTTAGAATTGATCCTCTTTGATAAGGTTTCTGTTGTTCTTCCTGTGCATTGTTTAAAAGTGTAGTTCATGAACAGTGAAATTGTCTGGCTATGTTAGGGATTTAACTTGTTGCTGGAGTTTTATATGTGAAGGATCATTGATTCTTTCAAGGCATATTCAGTTTGGTCTTTGCAGTCCTGTCCATAGACAACTTTATGTGGACTAATCTCTCGTAAGGCCCCAAACCGCCTTGCTGGGATCTTTTTGATGCAAACTAAATTGTGATTTCGTTCTTTGCAGACTCTAGCTAACAGATCATTAGTAGATGATGTGATAAAGAAAGTGAATGGATTGAAACCAATTGCAGACGAACTGGGCGTGCCTTTATCTCAACTTGCTATCGCGTGGTGTGCTTCAAATCCCAATGTTTCCTCTGTTATTACTGGTGCCACCAAAGAGTCCCAGGTCACTTTAATCATTGTTTAAATGTTTCATTGATCTATGTTCTTGCATTGCTGTTTCATTTTCTTTTGGGGGTGAAGGGGTCGTAATTTGGATTTTTACTGTCATTAGAGGGATTAGTCCTATATAACCTTTATTCATGTCTAACTAATACAGATTCAAGAAAACATGAAGGCTATTAATGTCATTCCGCTGCTTACACCTGAGGTGATGGAGAAGATTGAGGCTGTTGTTCAGAACAAACCAAAGCGTCCAGATTCGTATAGGTAGAGATAATGTGGAAGAATCTATAGGCATTTTTCGCACCCTATTGCTGAAACCCATCTGCAAATGTAGTTTTCCATTGCCTGCGAAAGAGTGGGAATCTTGGTTGTTATCAAATACATTTACTGTTATAAGCTCTGTTTGTTTTCTGAATCTGTACTTGGATCTTTACATATTTCGTGGTGACTGGATTTCTGTAAAAATAAAGAGCCGCAGCTGCAGGAGTTTATCGTGGCATTTTAAGCTATTTTTGCATAATGATGATNGTGACTGGATTTCTGTAAAAATAAAGAGCCGCAGCTGCAGGAGTTTATCGTGGCATTTTAAGCTATTTTTGCATAATGATGATGCATGGTCGGCAACAATAGTCATTACGTGGCATAATTTTAACAGTTATAAAAAAGGTATAACTTTAAGAGTAAAGCTATTCATTACTCCTTAATAATGCTATGCTACGTAAGGTGTTACTTGTGATGACCAGTAAGTCGTTGACTATGCATAACACTACTAATTTTTTTAGGGTCCATTTGGTATGATTTTTGCTTTTGCTTCCTATGGAAGGTCTTTTGGAAAAAAACTATCTTAATTTTTATTTGGAAACTAATTTTTAATCCTACTCTAGAAATGGTTTTAAAAGAAGTCATATTAGATCAACTTTCTTTAAAAACTCATCTGACTAGTTTTTGACTTTTTAAAAGTCATGCCAAATGAACTCATGCTATATATAACTTGTCCTTTGTGTGGGCGTAGGTTGGTTTGGAGGTGGAGGGATGGGGTGCAGTGGCAAATGGAATTCATTAATTCGAATTAAGCTCTATGTATATCTTGCTTCACATCATAAATGACATTCTCCCTATGTAGCACAATTTGGCCAATGATGTGAGAAGGTGTTGAAAAAATCAAAAGAGGTGATTGTGTCATGAGAAAGAATAAACAAAGATGTAAAAAATAATGTATATGTAGTATGATTGTTAATTCAAATCCCTCAAATTGGGGAATGCAATTATCCAACTACAATTAGTACAAGGGAAAAACCCTTGTGACAGCCCTGTCACTTAAGAATAATATGTTAGTACAAGGAAAACTCTTGTGGTACATAAAGGATATTTAGGTGGGCCCGGCACATGTGAGGGGGGACACCGTTATGTACCCCCCTTTATGTACCCATAACACATCCCTTAGTACAATCACCTGAAAAGAAAGTTGTCATATTGTGAGGAATATAGCAACAAAACCCACAATGCACATTGGCGGAAAGAGGTGTAATATTTGAGTCTTTGACAATACCGCTCCGTTGTGAGCACTTTGAAAATGAGAATCAATACTATGCACCACTTTCAAGGAATCGTTTCAATCACGGCAATCTGGACGTCCTCCGAATCTATTGTATAACTTATAAGCTCGGCCAAACATGCTTGAATCATCAAAAATGGTAGCATTTTGTAATTTTCATCAATTTGTTTGAAGTGACACATTGTACTCCTTCAACTAATAGTTCTGATCTCCTATCTTCAATGGGCAAATAATAACTTCTAATCGTTGATGTGACAAGAGAATCTTAGTTCAAAAATACGATTTGTACATCGATTTTTTGACATCAATTTTCACACTCTCTCACAAAGGTGGGGTCCACGATTATTTTAATCGTGGACCCCATCCACTTGCATGTGTGTATGTTGTGAAAAAAAATGTACGTGTAGAATGGTTGATCTTAGTTATGGTTATCTAAAATAGTCATAAATTTAGAAAATCATAAATAGGGTTTTCTTACCACATCAATAATGAAATGTTTCTATTGGAGGCAACAAATCAATTCTACTTAAACTAATTGTGCCAAATAGACCACCACAAGCAAACCTCTTGACTACTCGTACTCAACCAACGCACTTACACAAGTATCATATAGTTTGCTAATAATATATATATATATATATATATTCAAATGCCACTTAGATCTCCTCGGTCCAACACTCAAATTTTTAGCCCTTACACTCACGATTGAGTCCAACAGCCAAAAAGTTGGTTGTTCGTCCAAACCAATGTCTAGCCTGATTTAATGTACAAGTATTTGTCTGTGACATGAAGTATACATAATCATATAGCATGTACCTTTACCTCGAATGTGAAATCTGACTCAAATTTGAAAATGGAAACACGACGAGCTCTTTGAGGTGAACTAATGAAGTATGTGAGAATTGTAGCCACCTTACCAAACTTTTCATCTTATTGCAAAGTTGATCTAAACATTTCATTTGTGCCATTCACGATATCAAACTTTTCAAGCTCTCGGAATCCAAATGGATGATTTCTATTTGACTATTAGTTGACCAAAATATTAGATTTTTATAGATTTTTATAGGCTAAATTGGTAAATTAACAAATTTCATAAATAACCCAATTATAATAATTGAATAATACTTAAAAAAAAAAAAAAAATACAAATATCAAAACATCATCTTCTTCCCACCCCCATTATCCCCAAACTAAAAATGGGCAAATCCATTCCGCCACCCCCACTTGCTACCACAACCTACCTGTCATCACCAACGTCATCGCCACTGTCATTCACCATCAGTCGTATCGTCGTCTCAAATTGTTTGCAGCAAATCGTACCTATCTTCTGTTAGATATTTATACAATAAATATAATATGTGAAAGAAATAACTAATTTAGAATAAATGCCTAATGGGTGAAAAGTGTGGAATTTGTATGGGAAGTCGGAGCTTCAGGTTACATTCCACGCAATCATAAAAATGTTTTTGATTGGAACCTTGGACTCTTGGACTTCTTTTATTAAATTAAAATTTTTTAATTATATTCGAAATTATTTAATGGATCAAACTAGCAAGTATAATATGATCGTTTTTCAATAACTCGCTATCAACAACCCACTATCCATTTTCCATTAAAAATTGCAATTTTTTATGGATCATGGTAGAGGTAGTTATATCTATTTTGCCTATATAAACACTAATCTGGTTTTGAGAAAATTACATCAAAAACGAAAGTATAATTTTCATATTCTATAATTTTCATAGTGGAGTTTAATATATATTTTTCGGAGTACACTTAAGATTTCTGAAATTATTCGTGATTGCTGAACAAGTGATTTATTTGATCGTTATATCCTGATAGTGATTGTCCACAGAGGTCGCAGGGTTTTTGACGAATAATTTCACTTTAGGATATCGTGTTATCACGAGACTCGATCAATCGATAAATTTTATTTCTATATTTTACTATTCTGCAGGTTACTGCAACTAGTTATTTTCCAACGTCTTCCCCAAAGGATAGTAAATAAAGGTCTAAAATTGATACATTAGTTCTCACTTTCAAATAAAGGATAGTTCCATTTCAAATGGAGAGAAAATCTTGGACAAACCAACTCTAGTCTCCATTTCAGATGGCATGTTTTGCAACTTGATTTTTCAGCCATGGCGAGTTCGGAATCTTTTGCCAGATATGTTGTAGATCTGAGCCTCAGATTCTATTTTAATTCTAAATTCGTAGCCCGTTATTGTCTTCATAATCCGGAAGGTCACTACACAAAAAGGACAAGTTAACTGGTAGATAAATGAATTTTATGGTAAACTGAGGGTAGGCGAGATCCCTTCATTTAGAAATGTTTCATAGTGGTGGCAATGGGTCGAGTCGAGCCGGCTCGGTCCTTAACCTCACAAGCTTGGGTAGTTGATTTTGGGTGAGCTCATGGGCCGATCTGACTTTGGCTCGTAGGCTCGTCTTTTTTTTTCTTTTTTTCTTTTTTTTTTATATAGAGAAAAACACAAATAATATAATGAAAACACTTAAAAAAAAATAAAAAGTGTTAAAAAAATACAAATAATTTAACGAGGACACTTTTTTATTTTTTTATTAGTATCATATTGTAATATTTTTATAAAGTATAAAATATTTATATAATGAATACGATTTTTTTTTTGAAATATATTTATAAAAAATATATATTTTTATTTTTTTTTAAAGTAGATAAAATGTAAACCCTCTTTCTTTATCCGGGTTTGGGACCAGCTACATCAATTTTAAGTATGTGAAGTTAAAAATTGTACACAAACAACTTGTTGTAACGTGTACAATTTTTTTAAAGAAAATTAATTTTAACGATTAAAAAATAAAGAAATTTTGATTAATATAATTAAATCAAATATCACTTACCTGACGATATGCAATTTCAGCGTATTTATCTTATAGTCGAAAATGAACGTCCTGCCAATCCTTCATGCACATTAACACTTCCAAAACATCTTCTTTCAGTCTCCTAATATCGGTCAAAACCATTTTACCTGCACTAAAAGCAAACTCCGAAACAACAATGAAAATCGAAGGTATCAGCAGATCTTTTGCAATTGCAGAAACAATTGACCAACGTCTTTCATACTTTCGCCAGAATTCAATTACTTCTTCTGAACTTTTTTTAAATTATTTTGTCTGTTGACATATTATAATTGAAGTAATCAATTAATTCGGCAGACATCACATTTTGAGTTTCAGCCGATATTTGATGAGATGCAAATGTAGAAGACATGATATTAGATGAACACATTGCAGTTGCACCATATCTAAATGTATTCATGTCTTGAAATAAATTCATTATTTCGACATCATCTTCTTCAATTTTAGTCGAAGGAGTAGGTGCAGAAGGTACTCGATTAACATTTGCACCCATTCTTTCCGCATATAAATCATACATTCCATATAATATTTGCTCTAAATTTTTATAGGTGATAGGTGTATCAAGTATTAAAACTTTATTGATTTGATCAACTACGTATTTAGTTCACGAAATATTATATCGGGGGTCCATTGCGCATGCTAAAGGAAATAACATAGGCAGTTCTTCCCAATATTTTCTAAACTTTAATTCTATAGCAATTACAATTTCACTAAAAGTAGGATCATTTTTATATTTATGGAATGTTCTTGCAATTATATAAAGGCATTCAAGTACCATACAACTTGTGAGATAATAAATGCCGAATAAAATCTTTGTGGTCTCATAAAAAGATGTCAAAAATCGTTTAACTTACAAAGCTAAAATTCAATCGGATTCATTTAACATACCATCGTCATAACTTCTAAAGTGTCTATTGTTATAAAAGTCAATTATTAAATTTTCGAAACATTCACATGACTTTAATAGCAAGTAAGTAGAGTTTTATCTGTGGTCTACATCGCTAACAAATGTTTTAGCCGTCGTCGCCCCTAGTTCGGGACAAAAACCTTCAAATGCTTGTTTTCTACTAGGAGAGATCGTAATATATACTAATGCATTCCTAATTCTTTGAAGTTCATCCTTTGTATGTTTTAAGTCATTTTGCACAATTAAATTCAAGATACGACACACACAACGAATATAAAACAAATATCCACCAAAATCAGGTTGAAGTGTCCTACACAATTTATCGACGACTACCTTATTAACACTAGCATTATCAAAAGTAAAAGACCGAATTTTAGTCTCGCAATTATATTTTCTAACAATACTGATAATAGCATTATATATTATTATTAGTATTGTGAGGAAACTCAATAATTCTAAAAGTAATAATTTTCTTATGCATGTACCAAAGTGGATCTATATGGTGTGTGGTTGCAGCTATATATGCTCTTTTATTAACCATTTCTCATATATCAGAAGTTAAAAATATCACCCCCATATTATTGCAAATTCATAATTAATTGTTTTGAATTATTGAAATATTGTATTGTATCGACACGAAGAGTGCTTCGACTTACCCCAACGTACCTTGATTGCAGATATTCTTTCACGAACGAGAAGAAGTGTTGGTTGTCTACAATAGCCAGAGGCAACTCAGTGGAGGCAACAAATTTCATCATTCTGGTTCCAATATTGTCCTCCGAATACACCCACGTGAATAGGGATGAGGTCGTAGAACCGGCGCCTGAATTGCCAAATTGCAATTGTGTTTGACCAATTGGAAGAAGTCTATGTCTGACCGCACATGCTTTGTAGTGGCTGTTGAGATGGGTGGTACCAATTTCTTTTTGCCATACCAATCTTTGTTGGCAGTATTTATATACTGCTTTAGATTTTGCAAGGCCATCGACGATTTTTTTCGTTGAAATCAACTTAAAGTGATCCCAATATTTTGCTTGTTTTTTGCCCTTTCGCTTTCCCCTTGCATCTGGGATGTTTAATTCGGCATCTTCATCCTCGTGTTCCGCTTTGAAAACGTTAATATCATCCAAATCAATTGGATTGTGGCTTCTCTGACCGTGAATGTGAACATCTTCAGGTATGGGTACGTCATTTAGACCGACAAATTGACTTTGTGGCGTCCTAGGCGATTCGCCATGATGTGGCCCACATCCCATATCGAATAAACTTTCAACAAATGAGCATTGGTCCATTTGTTTGATTATTTATGATGAAATCCAAATATAATAACTACAAAAATATAAATGTAGTGAGATTGTGATAATTGAGAATTTGATGAATTGAAATTGTAACTAATAAACTGTAAAAATTGAATTGATACTGTATATTTTGCAGCACAAGAGAGTAAAAACTCAATAAAAGAGTTGAGACTTGAGAGAGTTGAAGTAGTGATTGAGTAATTGATATGAAAAAAAAGGGGAGTTAAGGGGTATTTATAGTAAAAGGGGAAAAAAAAAAATAAATTTCATTGACTGTTTGGTCACTGAATTCAGTGACCATTTCGATCATTGAAAAAGTGACCAAAAGGATCACAGCCACGAGCCGCTCGGCTGGCTCGTGGCTCGTTACTTTTAACGAGGCTCGTTTCAACGAGCCGCTCATGGGCGGCTTGTAGGCGAGGCCCGCTTGGGCTCGTGATTTTATGAGCCCGAACCGCCCACGAGCCCTATTTCAACGAGCGGCTTAGTCCTTTTGACATCTCTATGTTTCACTGTGTTCTTGTTATTGACTTTTTTATTTTCTTCCTTAGTCGTGGTCTGTTTGTTTTGTTGATATTTCTTAAGATTGGCTTTTCTTTGGAAGCCTAGAGAAGGCCTTATTGAGGACTACAAAAAACTTGAAGTTAGAGACTAGTGTGGACAATCTGCAGAATGTCATTTGCGGTGGCGGCTGGTGGCGGTGAGATGGCAGTGGTAGTGACAAGTGGGTGATGGTGGCAAGTGGGAGTGGTGGTATGGGTTTGTCCAATGAATAATACTATTTATACACTTTCATATACTTATATCCCCTCACATGGAGACATTGGAGAGGAATTCAAGCATAATAAATTATGTGTAGACCTTCCTCCATGTGACGGGGTGATTCTCGTGTACAAGTAGCACTATCATTGCCCAATTTCCTATTTTAGATTTTTGCTTTTTAGTTATTATTATTATTTAGTTATTATAATTGTATTATTTGGGAAAAAAATTGTAAATTTACCACTTTAGCCATTTAAAAATTAGTCAAAGTCCATTATTTTAATAGACAAATAGTCAAAGGGACGAAAACTCCAGGTGCGAATTTTGGTACTATGGCTACAATTCTCTCAATGATATATTTAACTTATGACTAAGAGAGAGAGAGAAAATTTATTATATCCAGTTAAAATTTTTGCTCATATTTTATATCATTTGTATCTATATGTATCAGAATTCTAATTCATGAATTTTTGAAGCCGATGCATGAAAATTGACCAAGTCTAGGCCTATCAATTTTGTTTGGAATGACTAGCCCAAACCGGATGAAACTAGCCCACGAAGCATTGTCGAGCTTGATTTGCACAATGTTAACATGGTCAGATGCAAACTTATTTGCACTATAGCTTATAAGTAGAAGTAACTGAGAATAAAAGCTAGAGAGAAGGAATTGCAAAAAGCAGCATATTGAATTAACAGCACAAAAATTCATTACTTGAAGATCTGTTATACAAGAAACTTCCAGAATTGAATATGCATTCTTCATCAATATCGAAATGAACGATCTGTTGGCCCTTTTTCCAGCAAGCATCAAGCCAAACTGCCAAACCCTTTCGATATACAAAGCGCAAACATAAAGATCCATCGAATTAACATTTTTTCTCAACAATTAAGATTGTACCAACAATTGTAGATTATATGCTAACCAGTTGTTTTATAAACTAATTCAACAAACTGGAACTGACAACCTTATTCTGGGTCAGGTGAGCCACCAGGAACCAGCTGGATTGGACACAAAAAGAAATATCAATCTTTGTAGAGCTTCATAATTTAGTCAGCGTATGTACGTATAAGAATATAGAAACAAAGAAGAGTAAAACATGGAGCATTTGTCAATAACTATGGTAGACTTACAATGGCAATATTGTTTCCGTTGAGCAAGATTTGATCAAGCTTCGTTATTCTCCGCCCTTCTGAAGTGATCTCACTGGAACAATAAGTGTGTTTCACTTTAGTATTATGTGATGTTGAAAAACGTAAAAGCAATATTATCAACATAGTAAGAAAGATGTAACTTCTAAAACATGCAGTAGGAGCTTCAATTCTTTCAAGGAACCATCGACATTAAAAGGCTCAAATAGGTCAAAATTACAATTACAACTTTAATAAAAATCATTTTCATAGTTGCATAATTTTCATCTACACCAGGAAATAAGAAGTGGAAATGTCCAGCAGGAGAAGGATTGATCCACAGTGTATCTGCAGGAACTAATTCATTAAATTCAGGAATAGGTTCATTCCCACAATATCTTGAATGAATGCGAAGAGAAAAGGTATCACATGGATAACTGGAAAAAAATCTCTGGCTCGACAGAAGCTCGGCCAACAGGACTGCTTCCTAAGATCATCTCGGTTCGAGTCCGAGTGGCAGCATGCCATCTCCTTAAAAACCTAAATAGATCCTATAATGAATCCGATTCCTGATATCTTGTAATTAAAGAACTCCTCTTTTTTAAGAATGACTCAATAAAGACAATATCTGGATAAGACATGAGGCAGATCAGAAAATCAATATCTAGTGAATTCACGAATGGCCCAGTAAAGGGCACATTTCAATAAATTTAATTCTCTAACAAGAAACGAGAACTAACATTCACTCAATGGAATCGAGTAGTAAAACACCAAATATAAATTCAAAAGAGAATCAAAACCTAGTTTCACATGTTCAAATTAAAGTGTCAGATGTAATCCTAAAGTGTGCTCCAAACCAAGTTTTGAGGCAAGGAAAGGATGTATTCTGATGCAATCACATGAATCTGAAAGTAGGGAAGCTTATGGCTTGTATGTAATGTGTATAGTGTAGCTCTAGACATTATTACTAACAAAATTTAATATTGGATACCAAATATGTCATGAGACAGGCATTAACATGCTGCATCCGTCAGCCTCAATTACCCTTCAATATTTAGAATGATTGTTTTGGTATTTTATCAACTTACAGAGAAAATTTTTAAGATTAAGCTCCAGAAATACAACTGAATTAGAAACCAGATTCTGAAAATCAATGTAACATAAAAGATGGGAAAAAAGTTTTAAAATTATGTTCCAGAAGCACAATAGAACCCAAGTTGAAAGAAACCAATGTTACATCAAAAATGAAATAAAATGTGCTCCATGCAAACAATCAAAAGGCTTTAACCTATGGACCATGCTATATGTACATAAAAGTTGACACTATGCACCCATGTGAGTTGGCAGATTTTGGTACATTGATCTTAGCAATACCTTTTCCAATCTAACCGCCAGAATTTGTACACATAGGAGGGTGTCAATCAAGGTGAACACTTAGTGTGTACAAAGTAGTTTAATCCTTAACCATATGAATAGCTACTTTGTACAGTTAATATAGCATTCTTAAGATATGTATATAAAATATATATATATATCTGCCTGAATTGGATATTTAACGAATATCTAATTATTTTGAAATCACCTTTTTAAAGAAAGACCAAAGATCTATAGCAATTAGGGCTGTTATATTGCAACGACACTTTTTATTTGATACACCACATTTTAATTACAGTTAAGCTCCCAATCTTTGCTCATTGTAGCAATTATTTTCTTATTTTTTTTAATCGAATTCTTATCTTCATCCTTACATTAATTAATATTTCAAAATATTTGCGTATTTTTTATTTATTTATTTTTGAAAATATGAAGAAAAATTAACTTGTTTTAAGCCATTTCAAAGGACTTTTGTAACTTTTATTAAATACAAAATGTGTTAACTAAAAAATAAAAANAAAAAAATTGAGAATTCATTAAGGAAAAACATAAATCGAAGATTATAAAAAAGGAATTACCGGACGGGAGAAGCTGTGAAGGATTATTCGACGACATGGAGAAGGATTTCGATGAGAAGGGCGAGGGTTTTACTAGTGTTCAATGGTGCCGGGATGTTGGCGAGAAGAGTGCAAAATAAATAAATTAGGAGAAATCTTATCTGGGGTCTTAACTTTGAACTTTTGATAGTGAGTCCCTAACCTTTTATTTTTTTTTTGGCACTTTGAGACTAAGTCACTAAGAGCACCTCCATTGCTTTGTAGATTGCTAAAATAAAATTGTCAAAATAGATAATATTTTCTTTTAAAATCTCAATAATTATATTCATATGTAAATTTGGATGATTTTTTTTTGAGAAATTAAAAATCTATTTCACATATTGGTTTCAATTTTTGAAAATGCTCAATAAAAAAACTACATAGACTAAATAGATTATGAGTTTGTTTCATGTATTGGGTAAAATCAGCCCATGATAAAGGTAGAAAAAAGCTGGAGATCCTGGGATAAAACCCCGGGATTTAGTCCAGCCACCTTAGCCCCCGATGTAAAAGGGGCGGGCCTCGCATATGTGAAGATCGAGGGTCGAGGTGCTGCCACCTCGACCCTGGAAGGGAATCTCGAGTTCTGAATCATCACTCGATAAAGGTATATATATTGGAGTCACAATGAGAGCCTATAGTAGATAAGTCTTTCTTCTTTGGTTCATGTTCTGCTAGATTAATCCACTCAATATCGGGTAAACTTTTGGTAGTCGTAGAGATGACGGATAACGAAGCAACTAATGCATATCAAATTATAGCCAAAAAACAAGGCCTAGGTACAAAGACGTGCCCTTGTTCTGTGATTGAATTATTTGTCTTTAGCCACTGTTTGTCATCCCTTAAAAATTTAAATTATTTGTTATCATTCTCCACTACACAATTACATAATAAAATATTTTACACATAAACCAATAAAATTTTATTACTTTTTAACTACGTATTTTCCAAAAAATACTATTCAATAACTCATTATTTCCTAATAAATTCCATCAAACAAGCTCTTATTATATCCTCTCTCAAGAATAGTGAACTAGAAGCATAGGAGGCGAGACTAAGGCAAGATAAAAATCGCTCCTTTAATGTTTGAATTTGAAATATTTTAGATTTTCTTTTATATGGCGTAAAACAGTTTTTACATTCTTTTTGTAATTAAAGATTGAAAATTAAATAAAAATTAAAATATTTAGACTGCTAAAAATATTTAGAACATTGGCTTATTATTAAAATATTAACACCAACTTTCTTTAAAATATAAAATTCAAAGATGCATGCAACACTTCAAGTCCATCAATACATATTCACACAAATTTCCATGCAAATCAATCAGTAACCAAACGAAGGATGGGAAAAGATTAGAAATGCAACGTGAAAACAAATCATGACTACAAATCCTAAAATAAAAGGATATACTGAATTAAATCCTAATGGAAAATCGAGTACAAACTCGGATACTCTAATCAGCCGCAAGAAATGTGCCCCAAGTCGCAAGTGCTTCTCTCAGCCTTCCTACCAACCCATCTCTACTATTCATCGGTAACACATCCCTTTGAAGATGGTTGCACGCTCTTGATATACTGAAAAATAAAGAGAAATTCGATTTGTTCAATTGGTTGCTGCATAAATTGGAAAAAGATTATGTCACTTGTATATAAAAATTGTACATGAGGAATTACATAAAATGATATGGAGAGAAAATATCAAATAAAAAAAAGTCGAGTGTGCTTTAAATTGGCAAATGATAAAATGATATGTGACATTATGTAACCTATTAGATAAAACTTGATGTACAAGTAACAAGGTCCATTGGAAAAATGTATATTGCAATGCACACTGTGTACCTTGTAAAGAACACCTCGTTGAGCCTTGTAAGGTGGGGGAGTCCATCTCTTTCTGTGCTCATTCAATTCCTCGTCTGTTAAATGCAAATCCATTCTCCTCTTCTCAATATCTATTGTGATTACATCTCCATTTTCGATAAGACCAATCGGACCACCTTCTTGAAATTTGTAACTCATACATAAAATCAAGAATTTAAATCATGAATGCCTCCAAATGCCCCAGTATTTCATTTCCGATAGAAAACTATGGTGATACACCAAAATCTCATTAGAAGAAACACGCAAGCAACGATATGGCGATACATGGGTGGTCGATAGTCAATTTAACAGCGTGATAAAAGCTGGAACCTGAATACACGATCATATAGAGGTAAGGATGTCAACGAGCAGAGTTGAATCGGTTCGCGAGCCGAAATTCTCGGCTCGAGCTCGGCTCGATTAAAATGATCGAGCTTTTTTTCGAGCCCGAGTTAGGCCAAGCAAAGCTCGACAAAAAAAATTAGACTCGATCCAAACTTTTGGCTCGGGCTTTTTCGAGCCGAGCCGACTCGATTTTGGTAAAAAAAATTTAAGGCAGCAATCGTAATTTTTTTTTCAAGGCAACAGATTGCTGCCTTAAAAACTAAAGGCAACCTAAGGTGGCAACCTGCTGCCTAAAAGATGCAGTAGTACGCTGCCTTTTAATTTTTTTATTTTTTCGTATTTGTTTTTAAATATAGGCTCATGAGCCCGAGCTGGAGAGCCACGCGGACCGGCTCGAGTTTTGCCTGACACTCTAAAATGGAGCTTGATTCAAGCTTCGGCTCGGTTCTCTCGAGCCTCAAGCCGGACGAGCTCGAGCTTTTTCCGATCCGATGAGTCCGATTTCCACCCCTATATAGAGTTCAACAAACTTGTGCCTCGGGGCATATGTGGCCTACATCATATCAGTGTGAACCTTCGAAAAATTGTCCATCAGTCAGCAAAGCAACCTACTGCATGCCGATAAAATATACAAAATATTTTTTTGGCTAAGAAATGTCGACCATATTGAACGAATGAAACATCGTAACAATCAACATTTCATGGACACCTGTTGGGATTTTTATCCCAATGTGTGATTGTAGTCACCAAAAAATCAAACACAGCAGTAAAGAATACAGTGCAGAAAATAAATAACACCATAAATTGTTTACCCAATTCGGCCAAGTCTAATCTGGAGGGCTTAGAGGTAAAAAAATGGAGCCCGTCACTATGTAAAAACCACCCAAGAGAGAACACAAATTTGATTACAAGATTCAGATCTCAACCAGAACTATCTACAGATCATCGATCTAACAAAGACCTTAGAAAAGCAAACTTAAGAATAGTATCTGTTTTCAATTTAAAACCCGACCAAAGAGGCAAAAACACTGCCGAAAAAACACAAAATACCGGCAGTATAACAGACTACAAACCACGAGATCTCCGACTACAAATACAGGCCAAACAATAGATAATAACGTCGAAAAAAGGAACCAAACTTGATCTGAAGATATCACTGGACCAAGGCACCAAAATCGCTAGAGAGGAAGAGAAGAAAATACCAAGTGAAGAATAATCAAGTCTCTCTCTCAAAAATCGGACCTAAACCATATTAGAAAAGGGAATCTAAATCAAGGCCATATATTCAAATCAACGGCCCATAATAGTGCAAATAAACACAAGTCCAAGTGAAAAGGAAACGGCCAATAGAAGACTGCCACGTGGACGGCCATTTACAAAACGTTTTATTACATGAAAGAATCGCATTTTGAGGCTTTGAAAACACTTTCACAACACCATTTAGAAAGAAAATATTATTGGATAAAAAATAAGAAACAAAAGAAATTTCACAACTAAGAACTTAGGATTTTGCTCCTCTACCAGTCCTGTAAATGATCTGGTAGAGGAGCCTCTCTCACAACAATGGGTCCCCTATTGGGACCCATTATTAAAAAAATGTCAAAAAACACCCACTCCTACCTCCAAATATAAGTGGAGCTGCTCTATTAGATCATTTACAGATCAAGTAGTGCAACACGATGCAAGAACTTAAACCAGACAATTACATACCTTTCCTAGACCTACCCCCATTATTGCACTGGTTGGGGTCAGCACTACAGGCATGCCTGCTCCTCTTTTGGGCCTATTTCCTCTAATAACGACAACTTTTCCTTGAAATATGACACATGTCAAGTCAAAATAACATGCATGCTGATTCTATTTAAATTCAACTAAAAAAATTAAGTCCAAAGATAATCTCAATGAATGATAGAACCCCAACAAACGTAAAAAGGAAACACAGAGCTGGGAGAAGGGAGGGGGGAATCTAGGTAAGGAAATTTCCTGTCTCTTTTGAAAGGGAAATATTGATAAAAAGGGGAAAAAGTAATTCTATTGTGAATAATCATAGACTCTTTTGCCAAATTTCTCAACTAACACCATCCACCTTTGAGTTGAAAGTGAAGAACAGAAACTTAGAGCCTGTTTGGAATGATTTGAAGAATTGATTTTTTGATCGTTAGGAGAAAAGTGGGATCCACCTGTGAAAGAAGAAGTCAAATATGACAGTTGAAATAGTGAAATAACAATAAAAAAATCAATTTTTTTGACCAAAAAATCACTCTCAAACAGGTTGTTAGCATGGAACAAGTTGAAC